TCTTCTCTCTAGGTTCTACATCTTGACTCTCTTCCCTACTCCTTCCTCTCTCCTCCTAGTCTCCTAGTCCTGCCTATCTTGTTGTCCTATTGGCCAACAGTGCTTTATTCATTAACCAATAAGAGAAACATATTTACAGAATGACATCTCCCATCCACAATGAGTGGAAAATCTTGTATTATGCCATCCCACCACAAGCTCTTTAAAGAGAAATAAAGCCATGGCTATGGAGCAGCAGTGATGAATCCAGTCGAGGTCCCAGTAGGCATCACTGAGGGAAGTATACATTGCTGGAGAAAGCATCCCTGTTTGTACTAATCTGTTTCCTGTTGTAACAAAACTCTAGAGGCTTCACAATTAAAATTGACTTGCTTATCTCACAGTTTCAGAAGATGAGTGTCCCAGATTAGAGGGGCCAACAGATTCAACCTCTGGAGAAGATGCCCATGACTCTGTTGCATGTGGTGGGAGAGAGATAGGGGAAATGGCTGTGTGAAAATACCAGAGCATCAGTAGCCTTGCTATACAACACTCACATGAAAACCAACTAGGGTCCCATGAAAATTACATTAATCCTTTCTTGAAAGAGCTTCCATAAACGATCTAATTACCTGCTGATAGTGTCCACCACCTAAAGGTTCCAATGCTCTCCACGAGGTCACCCAAAGGCTCATGTTTCCAGCATGTGAAATTCAAAGAGACAAAGCACAGCCTAACAGCAGTACAGTCGGGATAACAGCAAGTCTAAGGGTCTTGAGTTGAAACCTGCCTAGGATATACAAAGAATAGCAAGAAACCTATAGCTGGAGCAGATCAAAAAACATGGAAGACAGTAGACTATCAGGTCAGAAGGAGATCAGGGATACAGATTATATGAACCTGTGGAAGTTTTGACTTTTACCATCGGTATCATTGGAATTTGGCCATAAGTCTGATGCCTCATGGACCACTATGTAGAGCATATTAGATAGGTGTGGGAATTATTGGAGGAGGAACAGAATCAAGAACCGCGTATAGACATATTCTTGAAACCCAGCAATGTGGCCAGACTGACTCTGAGAAGCTATTTTGCAAAGAAGTCAAGATATTTATACCAGAGATATGACATGCCATCCTGAAGGTTCGGATTTGATGTCTGGAAGATAGAAGGGTAACACATCTTGGGGACAAACCTACTGCTTATTGTATCCCCTGGAAGATCAAGTACAGAAACCTTAATTACTTGATGTTTCAGTGCTGGGAGGTAGGGTCAGATCCCTTATGGATAGTTAATGTCTCTCTTGTAGAAATGGTTTAGCCAGACTGGCTCCAATTTCGGTCTCACCTGTGACCATGTGTCCATTATTTCAAGAGCTGAAGCAGCACAGAAGCCAGGCCAAAGTTCTAAGGGGCCACAATCATGAGAAAAAAAAAATAAGTCCTTCCTCTTCATTCATTAGCCAAAGAAGCCTCAAGTGTTCTGTTACAATGAAAGGCAGACACGTGTATCCATGAGACAGATGGAGAAGACGTCTGGTATAATGGTTTAGGGCCAAGGAACTGTTCCATGTATCCTCTTCCTCTTCCCTTTAGTATTGTCCTTATTTTTATGCAGAAGCAGCTCCATCCATTTCTCCCTTTACTCTTAGGCTTGCTCTTTCAGATTTCCTTTCCTTTTCTAGTGGTAATAAAAGACACTGTTCTCGCTGTCGGACTGAAGCATTCCTTACAGCTGATTCTTGTTAATAGGCTCCTGTGCCTCTGAGAAGTAGCTACGTGCTTATCTTGTCTCTTGAGCACAGAGCTTGCCTTTCCGTTCACTCCCATTGTACCATGTTCCTGACTCCTCCTGAAAGCGGCCCCTCCGCTTCCTAGCGGTTGTGGCGGTTGAATGTGCCCAAAGATGCACATATTTGAATACCAGTAGGCTGAACTGCTTGGAAAGGATTAGCAGGTGTGGTCTTGTTAGAGCAGAGTGTAACTAGGAGTGGGCTTTGAGGTTTCAAAAGGCCACACCATTCCCAGTTTCTCTCCCTCTGTCCCTCTGTCTCTCTGTGCCTCCAACCCTCAGATGTGGGCTCTCAGCCACTATGCCGGCAACATGCTGCCTGCCATGCGTGATGGTTATGAACCCTAACCCTCTGGACCAATCGCCGCGGTCACTCTGTCTCTTCACAGCAATAGAAACTAAGACAGAACTATACCTTAGCTTTGTGTTTACTCTCTTTCTCCATCCGCTTACCCCCGTTTTCATTAACCCTTCCAGCAAGTCTTCCCCGTTGTGTTGTTTGATTTCATCTTTACTGAGCCTTCTCTTCTCCTCCACACCAGGATAATCACCTTACCTGTGTTCCGTCTTACCTGTCTCCTCTGGCCCTCAGTTACAACACTGCCTTATGATATGGAGTTTTGGCTCTTTCTCCTCTAACAGAATTGCATTTGATTCTCTTTAAAGGGGATTTTGATCTTATCCCTCCATCTTGCCTCTCTGTTGCAGTGTGCGGAGAGTTCGAATTCCACTTAGTTCACTTTTGAGTCTCTCGCTCCATTGTTTCCCTCTCGTCACACCTCACACTCTTAATTACCTTTTTCCCTTCAACATTTTTTAGGACAAACCAAATGGACAAAGAGGAAAAAAAAATGTTTTGTTGATTTTTTTTCTTTTTACCAATTTTGGCCCACAAAATAAAAGGACATGTTTGGAGTCTAAAAGACAGTAATGGTACCTTGGCCTTCCTTAAGCAAGCATGAGCTCTTCTTAGGATTCCCTGTGAGAATCCTGTGAGTGAAGTTTCAGTGGTCTGGAGGTATAGTTCAGTGTTTAGGGTACTTTAGCATTTGTGAGGGCCAGCACCTTGCACATACCCACACCCAAAAATGTGCTCAGTAAGAGCCACTTGAGACAGAATCTTCTGGGGTCTCCCCCAACATTCTTGAGCTTCACCTTCACTTCTTGGCGGGGCTGCCATATGAGACTTCTGTCAGCCACCCTTTCTCATGGGTTAATGAGAAAGGACAGCAAAGCAAAGGGGATTTTGCCCAGCTGAATACCCTTTTTACAAATTTAAAAAAAAAAAAAGTGTGCTCTTCTGAGTAAGTTGACAGCACTAAACAATTCTGTGCCACAAAGGTCTTTTTTTTATGCTTTTATTTAGCAAAACTCCCAGGTGATTTTGAGATACATTAGACAACTCATTCACTGAGGGCAAGGGGGGTCATTCTAAAATGTTCGTCAATGGTTCTCCACAATTTTATCAGAGCCATAAAGAAAAAGCCACCTGAAAAGGGCCGTTGTATGGTGGAACTTGTATAGCCAGATTTCTTAAGACATTAAGAAAAAGCTGGCACTATCTATCTACCTATCTATCTATCACACACACACACACACACACACACACACACACACACAATCACACCATATTAGTTTAAAATATCCCATTTAAAAATTAAATTTTACCTAATACATTATGACTATGGATTGGTTCTTAGACACAAGAGCTACTACACCTAGCTATATTTTGTAGAAGAGGCTGGGCATGACTCAATGTTGGTTCTACAGACTTCACCTTGTAACTGTAGGAGAAATATTTCTTGTAGGATGCTCTGTCCAAAGCAAAGGCCACCTCCCCTGGGTGTCTTGCTGCCACGCTGAAACCTCTCTCTCCTTTGCTACCTGAGTGCCGCCATGCCTAGACATCTCTCCCTATTCTGAGCACTACTGGGACTCAGGCTCTGGCCTCTTCTACCTGTTAACACGTGCTTATAAAATAAGGACCAGACACACATCTGTGCCTCACCTTTGAACTTTTGACAGTGTGGGATCTAAGAGACAAACCTAGCTTTGCACTCTGTCAATGACAACAGCAATGGATACATGCTTCCCCCTCTCTGGGCCTCGGTTCCCATGGAAACAGAGACAGTAACTCTTCCCAGAGCGAACTGCCATGGCATTAGAGGTGGGAAAGCAACTGGTTCACAGTTCTGTGCCCTAATATGTCAGTTGTAGATGGGGACTGTCTTCCAGGGGGCGGAACGTAGATGTTTCTAGAATGTACATCTTGGGAGGCAAAGCTTTGCTGATATTTGTCCTTCTGTTAAAACCTAATGGAATGAAGAACATGTTTGGGAGGAAGAGCAATGCGTGCTACACTGAACTGACAACTGCTCTTAGCTGTACAACACTGATCTGTGGACTGGCCTCCTCAGGCTCCGTCCACTCATGAGCTATGACTCAGATACACTGGCCTTGAAATCACACGCCACGGCTTCAAGGAGGCCGAAGGGAATAAAATGGTTTTCCTTAATTCACCATCCCACTTCTCACTGTAGAAACAACCACAGGGGTAGCAACTTTACCCTGACAGAGGCCAAGCTGCATCCATGACAGTCGGCTGGCCAATTAATTATAAGGAAAGCAGCAGTGAGCCAAACAGATTGAATTACAGACTTCACCTTGTTCCTACTTTCCACGAGACTTGGGCCAGCCAGCTCCGCTCAATAAACCTCCACTGGGAAACGGTGGTGCCGCATGAGGGAACGCACACCTACAATCCCGGTTCTTGGCAGATGAGGCAGAAAGGGAGTATGCTAAATTGAGTATATGAACTCTGTCTTGAGGGGGGAAATGACTAGTAAAAGACAAGAAAAAACCAGGGCTAACCACTCCTACTGTCACGTGGGGAGGGCAGGACAATAAGGAGGGTGTATCTCAGAGATGGTAACAACTATGAGACAGGATGAAGAAAATTACAGAAAGCCAGTGGTCTATGCCCATGCATGGTCTTTATGCATTGAATTCAGGGTTATATATTTATCCCTTCCACTGGCAAATGACTAGAATTTCGGTTCACTAGAAAAGATGCCTGTATTTTGTACGTGCACATGTGTGTGTGTGTGTGTGTGTGTGTGTGTGTGTCACACTCACAGTAATGATAAAATCCACATAGCCACGCTCTTGTCTTCTGCATGCTAAAGCATCATAAATCCATAACAACCCCTGCTTACGGCCATAGCAACCGCAAGCCTACATTGCACTGCCCAGCTGACTTCGCATTTTTCTTATGTGCCATGCAGTTTCCTTTGTAACATATTTCAAAGATAATCCCTACCAAGCCGTTATAGAGGGTATCCCCGGGTGACCTGTGGGCTACAGCCCCCTCAGTTCCGATGGGGTCTTCGTCTGTAGCTCTTCCACTAACTCGAAGGAGAGGCAGATTGGCCACCTATAAGCTGCATATGGAAGAGTGAACCTTCCCAAACTTGTGAAAGAAGTCTTCCTGCGCCTGGGCCAGGGCTTCTTCATCGATGTAGACCGCAGGCCTCTTGGCCATGATGAAGTACTGCACCTTCCGCAGGCTCCAGCCAATCACGTAGTGGAGCCAGCCACACACGGCAGCGGTGGAGCGGCCCACCCCAGCGTTGCAGTGGACGTACACAGTGTGTCCGTTCTCCAGCAGGGCGTGCAGGAGGCACACAGCCTGTGGCAGCATCTGCACTCGGCCTGGACGGAGAAAGCACAGCACATGAGCCACTAGAGAAACTGCTGTCGCCGCTAGAAATCCCGGCAGCGCAGAACCCTGAGCTCGCGGGGGACGGGGTCTGGCAGTTTGCTACATTTACTGTTTTACACATGTGAAACGCATTTAATACCTGAGAATACCAAGGTGGAGAGAGCATCCCAGAGGCAAACGGTCCATTCTGAACCTAACTATTCCAGCTGCTTTTTGAGCAACTTCGACCTTGATGCAAATCTCTCCACGAAGTTAACTAAGTCATGTTTTGGGGAAGGTGGGGGACTGAGGAAAGGATTTTAGCATCTTTTTAGAAGTGTTTGCAGAGATTGGGCGGTGGCTTTAGAAGGTTTGAAAGAAAGCCTGATAAATCCTGTCCCTCTCAGTCTCGCTACCCGTTCTTCCAGGCAGACAAAAAGCACACGATTAGTCCACACTGGTTTACGACTCAAACACACTCATTGATTGGCAGATGCAGTTTGAGACAGAATTGAATACGCTGGTTTTCATTCAAGTAATTCATGTGTGGTGACCAGTCATTTATGCCACCACAATCCAGGGAATACTGACCGGGATTTGACCTCTTTATTATTGGAAAGCTGTAGCCACAGTTGTTACTGTCCTCTGGCTGCCATTCTGATGATCAATCTCTCCCCATCCTGAGAAGTACACTGGATCTGGCTGAGCCCCAGCTGCTCCTGCATCCTGTCGGGCAGGGGCTTAATAACCAAGCAGCCTCTGAGCTCTGAGATGACCATTCTTTCTGCTCACACATTCTCTCTATAGATATTGAGTGAGACTCCTGTTTATCTGTCTAGTATTTTGGTGGACAGCATCATGACAAATGAAAGAGTATGGTTACTCAGAACTACTGGGTTTCACCTTTGCTCTTACAACTTGGCATTCCCCAGTTTCTCTGTAAATGATGGAGGGGGACCCGACGGCCCCAGGAGGATCTCCAGGGACTACAGAGACCACCTATCTAGTGTCCATATTGTGTTTCCTGTTGGATGACTGAAGAGATTAGCAGCCCCTCCCTCACCCGTGGATCTTCACTGAAGTCTAGAATCTTCCCCTGCAGCTTTCACTCCTGACATATTTTTCTTAGAAGCACTAATACCCTCAAGTGCCTTGGAATGGGGAAGGTAGAGTTTTCACAGAAGCTCATCATGGCTCCAAGGTCCCCTCAGTCACCTACCTCACTTCAAGCTTGTCATGCTCTGAGAGAGAAACAACCTGCAACAAAGCCATGATGACAGCCCAGTCTTTGAATGTGGTCATGGAAATGCACACAGGACACCCTCTCAAACTGACAGATTGCCTTTCTCTCGGTGTGTCTGAGTGTGTGTGTGTGTGTGTGTGTGTGTGTGTCCATCTCTCTCTCTCTCTCTCTCTCTCTCTCTCTCTCTCTCTCTCTCTCTCTCTCTCTCTCTCTCTCTCCTCCTCTCTCTCTCTCTCTCTCTCCTTCTCTCCCCCTCCCCCCTCTTTCTCTCCCTCTCTCTCTCTCTCTCTCTCTCTCTCTCTCTCTCTCTCTCTCTCTCTCTCTCTCTCTCTCTCTCTCTCCACCAGTCCCTGGTAGCATCTACACACACCAGCTCCCACTATACCCACACAGGCACACGTGTTAACTTCACTCAATCTGCACTCCTGGCTTCAGCTGGGTAGCCTGGCTCCTCCTGGAGCCCCATATCCAGAGCATCACATGGGCCAGTGGGTTCCTCCTGGCAATCTCAGTAACAGGACTAAGTGCTGGATCCACCATTTGTCTCAAGGGGTCAGAGGCGGCAAACATCCAGGGTGTGTTGCAGTGGCTATGCTAAGAAGGATCTCACCTGCTCCATCGCAGTGAAGTCTGTGAGTAGTTTCTGGCATGAAAAGAATCCCCCCTGATAATCCTAGGAATCATGTTCTTTCTGTTCTGCCACCACTAGTATCCCTGGAAAAATTCCTCATATTTAATTCCATGGCAGGAATTACACAGGAATATCTTAAATATAATTTTAGAATCAAATGTCCAGTCTATTCATAGACCAGAGGGGCTGTTTGCAGTAAGAGCTGCGGGGCTCACAGAACCAGTCCAGACTGAGTCTGCAGATGTTCTCCAAGGACAGCTCTGCTCCAACAGCCTAGGTAACGTGATACGCTTCACCTTTCCTTTCCATCTGCAGAAAGGTCATTCAAGAGACAAGGACACTTCACAGCCACTATGGAAATCGGTGTGGTGGTTCCGCAGAGAGCTGGGAATAGATCTACCTTAGGATATGGCGACACCATGACTGGACACATACCCAAAGGTCTCTACATCCTACAAGACAGGCATTTGCTCAGTTGTGTTTATTGCTGTTCTACTCGCTATACCCAGACACTGGAAACAGCCTAGATGTCGGCCAGTGAATAAGTAGATTAAAAAAAAAAATGTGGCACATTTACACAATGACACATTACCCATCTGTTAAAAAGAACAAAGCATGAAATTCACTGTCAGACAAAAATCATCCTGAGTGAGGTAACCTACACCCAAAAAAGACAAATATCATGTGTATTGTCTTACATGTGGATGTTAGCTCTTATGTCTTTGATAAACAGGCTACAGTCTGTATAACCACAGCGGGTCAGGTATAGAGGAAGGGATTAGGGGGAGGAGGAGGATCCCCCTGGGAAAGGATGGATGGGAAGGGGACTAGAATAGGAAGAACAAACAAGGGGGGAGGGACGAAAAGGAGGGAATAAAGGAGGAATTCGGGGAGGGAGACATAAACCTAAGGGCCATTTGAGAGGTAATTTGGAAACAGACACTGCAGTAGAAGCTTCTTAAATTATTTGAGGGAAATCTAAGTGGAATTATCAAATAAAGCTGCAACTAGACGTTACACACCAGCAAATGAACTGCCGATGCCAGGAATGGGTTACATATAATTGTGTTGCTCGCCAAAGGGGCTCCACTGAACCCCACAAACAACCCAATCTATTGCCAAGACTATCGGTTACTCTCCACAAACTGCTGGTAAGGCCCTATTGATTAAGACAACACCTACACAACTCACTGAACACACAGAAGTCAAGGTGGTGCCTACCTAGAGCCTTCACACCTACAGACCAGTTTAAAGTTCATTGTACAGAAGGAACTCTTCATGCTACCAGAGTAGAAAGGTGAACTCCAACCCAGCTACAAACCCTGGGGTCTACAATGGTGTCCTGCCTACAAGATATGCTGGTCCAGGAGTGGTACAAAAAGTTGTGACAGTAACCAATAACTGTCTAGAAGCTTCCTTCTTCAGTAGATGGGAACAAATGCTGAGACCCATAACTGTACAACGTGCACAGAATGAGAGACCTTGGAACATTCAGTCCAAAGTAGGATGTCTCCACCTATCCCTCCCTTGGGGGCTAAAGGAACTCCGTGGCAAAGGAGATCGAAGGAGTCTGAGAGTCAGGGGAAGTAGAAAACACCAAAGAAACAACATCTACTAGACTCAACAGAACTGAACATGAGCTCTCAGAGACTGTGGCATTGGGGCCTCTGCAGCTCTACCCTAAACACGGTTCCAGTGCTGAGAGGAAGTGTGGACACATGCCTCAATCCTGACTCAAAAGCAATCTCCAATTGATAACTGCTTCCAAGGGAAAAATTCATTTTATACAATAGAGTCCATTGGGTACACAACCACAACCATGTATAAGAACAGACCTTAACTCAGTGGCATTTAGAAAGGATGTGTGTGATGATGATGCTTAGAGTGAACTTTTTTTTTTTAACATTATACATCTTTTGTTTATATATTACAATTTCTGGTTTTGTCTTATTTATGGGTTCTCTCTGGGTGCTAACATGTGTGTTTCTGTTTCTAGTGCTTTTTCTGGCTCCTCTTTTTCTATTTGTTTGTTTTGTCCTTTTCTGGTTGTTTTTATTTTACCTTTTTTTTTTTTTTTTTTTTTTTTTAGATGCCTGTTTGTTTTCTAAATGAGAGAAAGAAAGAAAGGTGTGGATTAGGGTGGGTGGGGAAGATTTAGAAGTGGAGGAAGGGAGCCCATAATGAAATGTATTGGATGAAAACAACTTAATTTCAATAAACAAGTTCTCAGCTTAGGAGTTAGGGATAGAGTCTTGCACATCTGAGAATATCCTATAACAAGTGCTTTCTGTCACCCTCAATATTTACATGAAGGAGCCAAGGCAGAGATTTGTCCCAACGGAATCCTCAAGTGGCCACTCAAGGGCAGCACTCTGACCCCGAAGCCTCTGGCCTCGACCCCTGTGCTGTGTTCCCTCCTAATCCACCCGGTTGCTGACATTTTCTGTCTCTCATCTCAGTCTGGATTCTCAAAGTCCCTGTGTGACTTCAGTGTCTTCCCAGCAGTCTAAGAAGTCTGCATCCAAGGGCCCCAGGGCAGAGCCAGAGTCACCAAGAATGAAAAGAGGGTCTTCACTGTACAAGAGAGACAGTATCAACCAGAACATACAAAGTCACATTTCATGTGTGTGTGTGCGTGTGTGTGCGTGTGCATGCGTGCACACGCACGCAAACACATGTTTCACGTGGAACTTAATTTGATAAAAAGCTTTCAGCCTTAAAACAGTAAGGTAAAAATAATCAGATTCTTTTCCTAAAGGGTTACTTGTTAACTTATGTGTATGAGTGTTTGCCTCCAGGAATATACATGTGCCCCACCATACCTTATACCAGTGGGAGCCAGAAGATGATGTCAGATGCCCGGAAACTGGAGTTACAGGCTGTTGTGGGCTACTATGTGGGTTCTGGGAACCAAACCTGAGTCTTCTGCAGGAACAACTACTGCTTTTAACCACGGAGCAATCACCCCTGCTCCCAGACTATTTTTTATGAAAAATATTCCAGATTTTCAATGTTGCTAACTAAATTGAAAAAAAAATGGTAGGTCAATCAAAACACTCCAGCATCTACGTTTCTCGCCTTGGAATTTAAAACAAGCATTGGGTGTAAGTAGATGCTCACTCAACAATCATTAAATACCTCAATCAAAAGTGAACAAAGAACAACGATGAAGCAATACCATTTGTTTGATCTGAGACACAGTTGACTGCTCTGTTCTACCCTGTGTTCAAAACCTGCTATAGGGCTGATTGAAGTCTGGGATGACTAAAAACTTCCCGAAAGGGGAGTAGATATTGAACAAGCCTAGGTTACAAAAAACAAATAGGTTTTTAGCACCTGGTACTTTAGGACCTTAAATAAGGGAGGCCAAAGGCCCCGAAAGGGATGCTTTGCTTTGTCTAAGGTTGATCAAGAAAGAAATCCACAGCATGCTTGAAAATTTTTCCTTTCTTAGCCCGGGGGAAACATATAAGAATACAGATGAGGGTCATCTTATCTGTAACATCCTTTGTAGAATGTTAAAGAACCCCAATCTGAGGAGCTATGGGCCCTTGATAGCTTCTAGGCAAAGAGAGTCAGTTTTCTTCACGAGTGTGTCTCCTGTAGGCTGGCCATGCTGCAGAGGATGGCCCCACATCATATGGTCAGCACAAAGCAGACCCCACAGTTATATACAAAGCAAACAAACAGAGAACACGATGTGGGAAGGGTATACGAAGGTGAAGGTGTGGGAGTAGATCTGGAAGGAATTGCAGGGAGGAGTCATTGGTCAAAATATATTTTATGAAATTCTCAGAAAATTAATAAAATAATTTTTTTAAAAAAATTGTGTCTAATCAACTATTGTTGTTGTAACTTAAGAAAAACGGTGCATGAGAGAAAGATGCCATGCAATGGGATTCAGGCTGAGGGGTTTTTGATTAGGGAAAGGGATCATAGAAAGGGGAAAGGGAGAGACCAGCCTCCGGGGATGGGAGCCGCAGGAGAGAGGAAAGAGGGGGAGAGAGGGGAAGAGGGAGAGAAAGGAAGAGGGGGGGATGGGAGGTGGGCAGGGCCCTTTAAAAAGAAAACGTAGTGAATGTGCACAGGTGGTGCTCTTAGTGGCTGCAGCTGAGGGCGTATCCTGTGAGAACCCCAAGGGCAGGCCGGTACAGATGCCTGGATACTAACAATTAAAATCTAGTTAGTAGAGATTCCCACCCTTAGGTGTCCAGTGCTAGAATTAACCTGCCGACATTCCAAGCTACTCAATGCCTACAAAGCTCCACCTTGCTGAGCTTCCGGTGCCATGGTCAGTGTCTTTGCATAAAGACTGAGATGGATTCAGCCTGCTGAGAGGACGACCAACCGAGGCGGTGTGGACAAAGCAACACCGGGACCTTAGAGCTCAACGGGAAGGGAAGAGCCGTGTTATTGGCACAGAGGTCAACCGCGCATCTGACTTCCCCTGAGAAGGAAGTCCTAATGAGCAAACGACGTTCATTTCACTGAGGTAGCTGCTGGAATTCGGAGATTTTTCATTTCCCAGGTGAAAGAGGCAAAACAAAAGACTAAAGGAAAAGAAGGTTGTCTACTACGCCATATATGATAAAATGCAAAACAGGGAGGAGGGTCAACAGGACAACTGATTGCAGAAGGCCTGTGACAGCTGCGTCTAACCGACTCTCTCTCTCCTTTGCAGACTTAACCTGTCAGCACTGCGCAGCAGCTCAAAATACTCCCAGACAGATCCCACCCCTCCCCCGGGACTTCTAAAAATACCCAGGTGGGTTCACCTACATTTATTATATAACTGTCAGCTACGTAGATTAATCGGTTGGTAGACGGTCACAGTCAGGAATAGCTAACTCCTTGGTCACTTCTCCAAGTCCTTTATGCAGTGCCAGTCTGTCCCGCTGCCCTGTCTGTCAGTCTGTCTGTCCTGATGCAGGCGGGGGTCCAGGAGGGGTGCTTCTTTGCTCTCATCCAGTTGCTCTGCTAGCTCTACAGAGGACGTGGACCTTAGATGCACTCACCTGGTGACCCAGTGACACCCCTCCCTCCCTCCAATGCTTGGAGTACAACCACAATGGTTCCCGGTGGATAAAGGGACCCCACGCTACTGAACAAACTGCCTATTTGCCAGCAGAGCCTTCATTTAGCAGAGCATGGATTCTGCAGTGGGGTGAGTAGCGGTTAGAATTAATAGCTCGACTGTTCCCCGCCCGCTTCCCTCATATTTACACTGATGGGCAACAGTGCTGTGAAATTAGAACCACAGAAGCCAAATCAAAGTCTCTGTGTGGGCTACAAATGTCCTAACAAGTCTGTGGCTGTTTTAAAACCAGAGACCATCTGTGCAAAGCAAACCCAACCCTCTGTTAGCTGATGGGATTCTGTTTCCGTTTAGCCTGGAGAAAAGGCGGGGCTCTTTAAGCTAAGAGTCATATGATCAGATAGCTAAGAGGAATAACCGGAGTGCCGATATCTCCCCCTACCTCAAGGAACATAAATTATACTGTTCCTTCCTCCATGATGGAACAGCTCAAATCTGCAGAGGGCCCTGTCAGGCCAGGAAGGTCACCTGAGGTATCTGAAGTGCCAAAGGCGGCCAGTGACACAGGTTCCCGCGGTCCTCAAAGTGTTCTGCTTACAGCCCACTGGTTGTGGGGGTGATTGATAAGCTACGCCCCCCCCCGTTATTTTTAAGGGCTTTGCATACCTGTAGCTAACCATGAACACAAGGAACTGAAATTATGTCCGTCCGTAGACTCTGTCTGAGCTCTACAAAGAAACACGTAGTTGCTGCTTTGCAGCCTGACTTGGGGAGCACTGCTGTGGGTCTGACCAGCACCCTCAAAATCTGGGCTGAGACTCCTTCCAGACTGACGACCTGGTGCCACCACACACCCTTTCTGTGCTTATCTCTTCCTCTCCAAAATGAAGGTGACTGTAACGTTTACCTAGGACCTTCTGAGAACTTGATGCGTTAAGGCACAATCAGGAGAGGGCAGGATTCACACTAGACCTCTACAGAGAGAGAGCAGAGGGGAGAGACATTTGCTGGCTTCTTGGCTTGAGTTCACTGCCATTCTTTGAAATCACGTAACTCCCCAACACTCTACAGCTCTCTGCTGCCCTCTGCTGACACATTGTTAATCCTGTCGTCCAGATGCGGTTCTCTTACCCCTACTTCTCAGCAGCTGTCTACCCTATCTATAAAGGGCTCTTCTAGAACTCCAAACCCCTGTGCCTTCGTCTACATTCTTTATTGCACTCACATTGCGCTCCCTCTACCCACATCTCACAACTCCCTGTCCAAGCCATGGGATTCACGTAGGTTGCCTATCTGCCCTCTTGAGAAGGAAGCCACAAGCCCCAGACCCAGAGCGCAGCCCACCATTCACTGCCCACTCCCCCCCACACACACACTGTAACTGATTCTGAGCTTGCGTTACTGCATCTTCTGTCTCAACCGTGACTTACTGTCTCTGCTTCCCCACCCACGGTAACCGGTCCATGAAGCCCGCTCTCCAGTCAAGACTGACTCCCTGCCATGCTCTCCACAGCCTCATTTCTCACAGTCTCACCATCTTACTGCACCCACACCACTAGATCCCCAGCCCCGGCTGTCCACGCTGCAGTGAAGTGCACTCTTGATGGAAACCTCAAAACAGAAAGAGCCAGCACTTCCCGGCTTCTCTGCCCTAGCTTTGCTCTTACAGGGCCGCTCTCACTGCAGCCCCGATGCGGGCAGCGCTTTTGCATCCTCTTGATCCACACTGGCCTTTCAGCTCCTACAACACGCCGCCTCCTCTCCTGACATACGGGTTCTTCTAAGCTGTTCCTTCTTCCTTCTCTCCCACCTCGCCCTTTCTCCACTCAGAGCTCAGACACTTCCTCAAAGGCATTTCTAGACTATCTACACACGCTCTGCAAAATGTCTGTGACTCTTTAAAACTTAGTCATTGTGCTTTTAAATGCCTGTTTTTGTCCATTCCATTAACACTTGCCATCCCTCAGGGACTCTACAATCCATGCTCCCAGACACGAACATAAGGCGCACACACAGTAGATACACAATATATACTATATATGTCTATGTTATAAAATACATATTTAGTATACATAGTATAAAATTTAAAGAAGCCACGTAACAGAATCCTATTAAATACCTAAAGACATTAAATCTAAATCCCTATGTTAATTACAATTTTATAATTAATATCTAAGACATTCAATTATAGACAACTGAAACACAGACAATAAGCTGTCTATGACAAAAGTTCAGCAAAGAACCAGAGTGCGTCTTCTGACCCTTACTTCAGTGCTCATGTCTGGTGTGGGCATCCAGATGTAGACCAAGCCCTCATCCCTGTCTGGCCCTTACCTTCAGTGCTCATGTCTGCTGTGGGCATCCAGATGTAGGCCAAGCCCTCCTCCCTGTCTGGCCCTTACCTTCAGTGCTCATGTCTGCTGTGGGCATCCAGATGTAGGCCAAGCCCTCATCCCTGTCTGGCCCTTACCTTCAGTGCTCATGTCTGCTGTGGGCATCCAGATGTAGGCCAAGCCCTCATCCCTATCTGGCCCTTACCTTCAGTGCTCATGTCTGCTGTGGGCATCCAGATGTAGGCCAAGCCCTCATCCCTGTCTGGCCCTTACCTTCAGTGCTCATGTCTGGTGTGGGCATCCAGATGTAGGCCAAGCCTTCATCCCTGTCTGGCCCTTACCTTCAGTGCTCATGTCTGGTGTGGGCATCCAGATGTAGGCCAAGCCCTCATCCCTGTCTGGCCCTTACCTTCAGTGCTCATGTCTGGTGTGGGCATCCAGATGTAGGCCAAGCCTTCTTCCTTGTACAGCTTCATCATGGTGTCTGGAGTCATGGGTTCGGGGTAGCGGTTACAGCCTGAAGAATTCTGGATGATATCCCATTCAGTCTGGAAATTCATGACAGCTGTAATTCCCAATTCATGCTTCAGTTTGATAGTGACATGTTCTAGTTGACGAGGGCAGCTACCCAGCCAGATATTTGGTAGAATTCTGGAAAAAAAAACAAATGGGATCAACAATGACTACTGCTCTAACCTGAGTTCTCAGTATCTGTATACAACGTATACAATTAATCTTCCAATCTAGATTTTTAAGGATATAAGAAACAATACTATTTTTTTAAATGCACCAGTATTACTGTTTTAGGACAACACATCATGAATCAATATGCACACCAGGAACTGGACATTAGGAACTAAATCCAGCAACGTAATGAAATAAACTCCCCACGTTGTGCTCACTGTGTGGATGATGAACAAAATCCATCAATTCATTTCAAACACTTCCAAATTAAATGTGAAAACAAATACCATCATCTCAAATTATAAAAAAATAAAAATAAAGAGCCGGGCATTGGTGGTGCACACCTTTAATCCCAGCACTTGGGAAGCAGAGGCAAGCAAATCTCTGTGAGTTCCAGGCCAGCCTGGTCTACAAAGTGAGTTCCATGAAAACCTCCTAAGCAATACAGAGAAACCCTGTCTCCAAAAAAATTAAAAAATTAAAAAATACACATTGTTAAAATACAGCCATCACACCTGTTTATCCCTATGCAATATTTTCCAAATAGTATAGGACTTGGGAAACACGCTAAACCTCAGAAATAGTGAACTTGCATTACATAAAATCAAAACCAAAATAAATGCATTAGCTCCCAAATACTTTTTCTATATGTCATAAAAGGTGATGTGATAGTTTGAACGGAATGGGCCCCTGTAAGCCCCTAGGGAATGGCACTATTAGAGGTGTGGCTTTGCTGAATAAGGGCTGTGTTAGAGGAAATGTGTCATTGTTGGGGTGGGGGTGGGTATGCTTTGAGGTCTCCTATGCTCAAGATATACTCAATGTGACACACAGTTCGCTCCCTGTTGCCTACAGAGCTCTTAGCTCCTTCTCCAGAGCCACGTCTGCCTCCCTCGGCTTCAGAGTTGGATGTGTCCCACACAACTTGCTTTCGTTAATGACCAACAAGCGCCACTCCCCCCCCCCCAAACCGCATGCTTGTTTCCCTGTGCTCACTTTCCCTGCTGCGGGGACTGAGTGGACACGTGAATGAGCTTCTGTCTTACAATGCCAAACTCCAGCCATGAGACCGGCTGCCCTAGAGAGCCAAGATCCAGTGGGGCCTTGTTTGTTACCTCAGCAATGCACCTGTCTTATTTTGTGAAGACAACATCCACGTCATTAGTGGCTTGAAAGCCCTAACACGCAAGACAGAAACTGTGCAAGGGGTTTGCATTTGCAGTAAGGCCCCTTCTTACGTTGACCTTAGAGCAGTGTTGTGTGATATTTTGATTGAATTCTGACAATAAAGTTTGTTTTGAATCAGGGGATGAAGTTAGCCACTAGCTGACCAAAATTAACCATGGAGTTTTTTGAGGACTGTGTGCGGATGGAGAGACAGGAAGTAGAAAGGCAGGGCTAAGAGAGGGCCCCGGTCCTTTTGGATGGAGAAACAGAAGAGGAGGTCCCCGATCACTTCTCCACCGCTTCCCTGATCACTCAGCTTCTTACCCTGATATCTGACTCCCAGTTTTCTATTGATAAAGAATAATTAGATAAACACATCAGAGAAGTGGAAGTCGGCTGGGCCAGTCAGCTTTGGCGATATTAACGAGATATTTGGTTTGGGGTTGTCACACTGGATTGTGGCATGTGCACCTCACAGTACTGTGATCATCTACAATGCAGAAGGCAGGTCCCACAACAAAGAACCTTCTAGTCCAAATGTTAATAACACATGGGGGGAACCCTGGGTTTCTATAAATAAGAATGGCACTGAACTCTGTCCCCTTTGAAGAGAAGAAGGCAACATGGAATACATGTAAGCTCACCATATCTCACCAGGCATTGTGGGGCTTGTAGTTCATGCTATTCCCGCTGACAACAGCATACTCAAATAGCATTTTTATGGTGCTGGAGAGATGACTCAGTGGTTACGAGCACTTACTGCTTTTGAAGAGGACCCATGCTTCCCATATGGAAGCTAACAACTGACTATAATTCCAGTCCCAGGGGATCTGACACCCTCTTTAGGCCTCTGTGGCAATTACACACACAAGGTACACAACAGACATACATGCAAGCAAAACACCCACATATAAAATAAATCTTTAAATATTCATATATCCAAAAATAAGAAAGATCTAGAGCAAAATAGAAGCTCTGTATTAGACATCTGAAAAGCACTCTGGTGTTTTTAGCTACAGAAGCAATGGTGTTACTTATAGACAGAAAGACCAAGTTCAAATTTCAATACTAGTGCTTAGTAATGGTCATACGAAGTTAAGCCAAGTCATTTACCATCTCTAGCTTTTGATGTGCTCATTTTTGGAACGGGTCTAAAACTAAATCACAGAAGTTCTACATAAAATAAATACAATCAAGTACTTATTACTTGTTTGAATAAGGCAATCACAAATACACAAGAACCCTGAGTACAATTTACATCAAGCTATTATCATAATTCATATTGATCAATAATACTGCCAAATGACTATATCATACTGACAAAATTTCATGTTCATTTTTCTCTCTTTTTTTTCTCACTTGGATACTTCAAGGTATAGTCACTTAGTTTTTAATATGAACTCTATGTTGGCTTTTCTTTTTATTTTATTTTATTTTTGTCCTTTCTTCTGTCTACTTTTTTTTTTTTTTTTTTTTTTTTTTTTTTTGCTTTCTCTCTCTTGGCAATTCTTGCTGCTGTTGATATTGATATGAACATGAAAACAATCCACTCACTTCAAATGTGGGTATTTCTGATCCTCAGTCAAAACATGTTAAAGGACCTAACCATCTTTCTAAGCACTATTTACTGGATAGGGAAGGTTATTTTATTTTATTTTATTTTTGCTAGTTAGGTTCTTATCTACAAGGCTTGTAGCCATGCCCTTATGGAAAACCTTATTCGTATATTAGGGGATAAAATTGAAGGCAATAAAGTAAAAATAACCAAGGAAAACATAATGATACTGGAAAGATGGGCACAACAATTCTTCCTCCCCCCTTTTTTGTTTAAATTAGAAACAATCTTATTTTACATATCAATCCCAGTTCCCTCTCCCTTCCATGTTCCCCACCAACCCCCATCCCTCTCCCCATCCACTCCCTAGGGAGGGTGAGGCCTTCCATGGGGGATCCTCAAAGTCTGTCACATCATTTGTGGCAGGGCCTAGGCTCTCCTCTGTGTACTTAGGCTGAGAGAGTGTCCCTCCATGGGTAATGCACTCCCAAAGTCCATTCCTGCACTGGGAATAAATACTGGTTCCACTACCAGAGGCCCCAGAGACTGCCCAGGCCTCCTAACTGACATCCAAGTTTAGAGGACCTGGTTTGGTCCAATGCTGGTTCCCCAGCTGTCTGGCTGGGGTCAGCTGTATCTGTGGGTTTCCCCAGCCTGGTCTTGACCCCTCTGCTCATCACTCCTCCCTCTCTACAACTGGATTCCAGAAGTTCAGCCCAGTGTTTTAGTGGTAGATCTCTCCTTCTGCTTCCATCAGCTACTGGATGAAGGCTCTAGGATGACATTTAAGGTAGTCATCAATCTCATTATAGGGGAAGGGCATTTAAGGTAGCCTCTCCACTCTTGTTTAGATTCTTAGATGAGGTCATCCTTGTGGATCTCTGGACATTAGGCATGAGAATTCTTGACCCCAAAGAATTCTGAGATAGTCCACTGGTCACAGTAGACTAGGAGAAAGACCAGAAGCATGGATGGCACTTGCACAACTTCTTGACCTGTGATGGGAAGGATGATGTGCCTGAGTACTTAGTGTTCACACAAGTGTAGAAACTTCACAGCCCCTTGTGTTACTGAGGAATAGGAATGGGATCTGGCTCCATCTAGAGACACATCTAACCTTCTATTACTCCTTGGAGAGTCCCCCTCCGGGATCCTTAGAATACCTATGGAGTGGTAATGTGGGATTTCCACATGTATACTCTGGAGCTGAACTGAGCACACCAAGTTACTCCATGCTGTGGGAAAGGGAAACAGAAACTTGTTTATAGAATTAAGTAACATATCCTACTGAATAGTAATGTATATTTTTCCTGGAAAAGCATTTAAGTGGACTGGTAAAGTGTCAAAATGTGTATTGATGACAGAAAAATTGAGTTTCAATGCTACTCAGCGTTCTCTTAAATTCTGTTTTCTTTCACTGGGGGGCATTTGATTTTTTTTTTTTTTACCCAGTCAATACATTAAAATATAAAGTTACTGACTGATTTTCCAAAAAGGATTTGCAATTGGCAGAAAAGCTGAAAAACACTTCACGAAGATATGCCAAAGGTAAACTGGCTTGAGCACTGGGAAAACAAAACCAGAACCCTACCACGGCCTGCATACAGAACTACAAGGGACATTGGGGCTGCTACTCTATCACCTGTTCAGCTCTGCTCTTTAAGTCATTTTTCACAATGGAGAAAGCCAAAGCAAAAATCAAGCCCAAGGTTAACACTACAGATAGATAGATAGATAGATAGATAGATAGATAGATAGATAGATAGATAGATAGATAGGTATCTGACATCAAAGTTCTCATGAAAATAAGCCACATGCCTGCATCACAAATGAATACTAAATTCTACATTAAATATTTACAATACTTTCACAACCCATATGACTTCTTCCAGTAATATGATGAGTCTGTTTATCCCTAGTGCACAAGTGGACTTTGGGAGCCCATTCCCCATGGAGGGACACTCTCTCAGCTTAGCTACACAGGGGAGGGCCTAGGTCCTTCCCCAAATGATGTGACAGACTCTGAAGATACCCCATGGAAGGCCTCACCCTCCCTGAGGAGTGGATGGGAGTGGGATTGGTATTAAAATAAGATGGTTTTTAACCTAAATAAAAATTAATTTTAAAAGTATAAAAAAATAAACCTCCCCCCCAAAAGAGGAGTATTAAATGATGCCTGATTCTTTTAAAGAAGGCACTGTGAACCCAGGATACAGATAACTAAAGATAAACTCTGCAGCAAGCA